CTTTCCCTTTATGCCAGGTAAAAGATGTTACTCCGCTCAGCCCAGGGTGTTTGCTGCTCGTCCCCTCGTTAATTTGCCATCCCAGCCAGCTTAGCAAGGGCATGCTGCTCCTCGAAGGTCTGCCTGTTCGCTTTGGTTGAAGATGCTCTGGAGCATTTGCCCTGGCACCAGGCAGGGAAGGGGACACTTGTAACAGAAGCTGGTGAGAAGAAGCTGGTTGGCAGCCACTAACCTTCTCCCCTGGCACAGCTGCTTGCGGAGTGCCCATCTGCTCAGGCTTGTCAGAAAAGCTGGCTGGATCAATATAAATCACTTAAGCCTGGACCTGGACCTGTAGTCTTGTTACTAGCGAGGTGCCGCTCCTTTAAATGCCATGATTAATAGCCAGCATCTACGGGGATATTTTGCCTGTCAGTGGCTACAGCAAATTGATTTTAGGAGAAATCAGAAAATTGAAAGGAGAGTTGGGGAAATGTTGTGTTTCTGCTAACACAACCACAGACTTAAGTGATTTGCAATTGCTCAAACAACCATTTTTTTGGCATTCGTTAACACCTTCTGGCATTGCGACGTTCCTGTCTTGTGCCAGTTGTCCTGAATAGCGTTTGGCAAATGAATGTCCTGAATGCTTTGTGTCCCCTGCAGCTGCAGTGGGTAGGAGGGGGTCACGCATGGGTGGGAGTGTGCAAGAGGACGAGGCAGCTCTTGGGGAGGTGGGTTACGAGGGAAGGGACTGCAGAGAGCCCCCGGCCCGGCTGGCTGGCTGGCTGGTGTAGGTTGCCTTGGGAAACCCTGACCTGCACTAGGAAAGCAGGGGCCACACGCGGCTGTTGAGGTAACGCTCTGGTTGACGCTTCATTGGGTTGTTTGTTACTTTTCCAGCCTGGGGCAGAGATATGCCACAATGTCCCAAGCACATTTTGATTTTGCCTAGCTTTAAATGCTGCTGGGATATAACCCCCATTATACATGCTTTCTGTTATAGCTATGGATTGACCCTATGTTTTCAACATCCACCTTGAATTTCAGAGGTTGGCTGGTTAAGTGATACCAGCAAACCCACTAGTGAAGATTTATACCAGACCTCTGTTTTCCTTTGATAATGGATTAAAAAAGATCCCTGAACGGAATAAACTATATTGACAAAGTGACTTTTTTTCTCCTTTTATAATTACATTTTTATTAGTGGGGTTTTTTTTGGTAGCATAACTATAGGGCAAGAAAGAAGAATTGTACTCTCTATGGCATAGCAATATCAGCAGAAATCCTGCAGTAAAAAGAAAATAAATCTATATGCTATATTTTAGAGGTCAAGAACAGTCTAAAGTTACTTTTCTTTTAAGTGGCTGGATGCTGCCTAAAGGTTAGGCTGTTTTTTGTCTGCAGACCCAGAGCACCCACGCGACACACCAAGCTAGACCTCATGGCTCACGTTACATGAATTAGCTCAGCTGTGGTAACCTGCCTGTATGTCTAAAGATTCAGGCTGAGGAGAGCTTAGGTGCAGGTGGTCGATGAAGGTAGTGCTGCTATCTCTACAGCCGATCTGTTCATCGGTGAAACCCTGGGCTGCCTCAGCTCACAGATATAGTATTAAGGCAAAATGGGACTGGTGATACTGGTCTTAAAGCACAGCGCTGTGAGCTGTGGCAGTTCGGGTGCAGCCTGACGACCAGCCTGGGTACCCAGGGCTGAAGCAGAGAGGAGGTGGACAGAAGGAAGCACACAAGATGAATGCTCCTGCCCATCTGTCAAACCCATGTACCTGGCGTTGTTCAGGAAATGGACTTGCCAGCTCTACTGCTTCAAGGATGCTTTTGTTGTCACAACTGCTATGGCTACGCTGGCAAATCATTCAACGTGTACACAAGATCAATGATATTTGAGTGTGGTGCTTGTAAGTAAACGAGTATGGTGTAAAGTCACTTCACATGTGTCTCATCGGGTCTGACCCTCCATGTGCCACATTTCAGAACATCTGAGGGCTTAATGTTCCGCCGAAATACAGCAGGTGGGTGTGTTGACTGGCAGGGTATCTTGGGCTATAGGTAGTAAACTACCTATGGATATAGCTGCTTGCAATACAGAAGTCTGATGTGTCCCTTCATGGTCCTTGTTTCTTTAGCTAGGTAAATGGATAACTCTGGGTTTGACTCTTCTGGAGATTACAAGTTAGATCCAAAACTTTTTTCTTCAAAATCTGGCAAAACTTGCTGGTGTTAAGCAATGTTAATTGAGCTAAGTTACTGGTTTCTCTTATTGTGCCACCAGCAAACAACCTTCAATAGAACCTCTTCTGCTACCATTTATCTCTGGAGATGACTTTCATGGATAGTGGTGGTGTTTGTTAAGATTGAGATCACGTTGCTTACAAAGAATTTTCCAAGTCTGAGATGAGGGATAAATCTGCTTATTTTGTTTAGTCTGAATTGACCTTCCACAGTATAATGAAAGTAAAGGGAGGTCTGATTTTTTTTTTTTTAATTCTTTCTGAGTCACCAGGTTTTGTTATAATGTATGGAAAAGTAGAGCTTCCTTAAATGCCACCATTTTATCAGGACTGACAGTAGCAGGAATATAACTATTTAGTACTGTATTTTACTGTCTGGGAAAAATAAGGTATACCTTATTTAGGATTTGTCTAAACCCAATAAGATATACCTTATAGGATTTTTCCAAAACTGCTCAAGGAGTTAACTGGAAAGCTAAACTTGGAACAAGGTTTCTTGAATGGTCATCCTATTTGATCTAAACTGAGCCATGCTGCTTTGCTGCTTCTTGTAATTTAAACCTGCCTGCTTCCAAATCATTCCCTCTTTCTTATTTTAGCCATTCATCAAAATGAAGAAAACAGCAGTCTAGAAGTAAGAGGACTAGAAGAGCTCAAGGATACCTCTGATGCTCAGGTAAATGTGTAAGATTAATGGTGTCTTGGGGACTTTTTCAGATCTACAAGTTGAAGGATCTGCTTTCAATAGCTCTGGGAAATGGATTTTCCTCGATGTTCTGTGCAGGGAGCCTGTAGGAAGGAGAAAGACTGCTGGATCTTCTCTTGTGCGACTGTTTAGAATAAGATTGATGATTACTTTGGGAATTAATCCCATGGTGTTGCAATCGAACAGCATTCTTCAACTATCTCTCTGCTCTTTTTAGATAATATACATACCAGATGTGAAAATAAAATGAGATGTATTTTAGGAGGCAAGGGCATGTGACATTTTGATTGAGTTTTAATCACTGTAAGTAGACATGCAATGAAATGAGGATACTTATTAGTCACTCGAGTGTAAGCAACAATCTTTTTCTTTCCTTCCCTAACTTCCCTCATTTACAACCAAAGCATACTTCTAGATATTGCTCAGAAGAAACTTAGCTGCCTTTTAGTGTATTTTATTGTGGAATTGCTTACCCTTTTTAATTCTGTGAATCTCTTTTGATTAATCTCCAGTTTATTCAATCATTCAGTTCACACATTCAAACTGTGCAAGTGTAACTATATTGCTCATTGTATTGGTACTGATTAGCGCTTTTAATTTAAAATTGATTTAGCCTTGACTGAGTTTTTTTTTTTTTTTCCTCTGGAAAATCTTACGTTTCCCACCAGTTGCCACCTTTTCTCCTTCCTACATATGCAACTTGCTGTTCCTGTCTCTGATTTATCTCCTAACACCTCACCCACTAAAAAGCTGGGTGCGAGAAAGACCGTTTTGCACTAATGTCTGTGAGCAAGCCTAGCTGAAAAGGCACAAGCCATGTAGCCAAGTTAGCAGTACCTCTATCTTTCTGAAGGCAGGGGCTGTCTTGACTAGAGTGAGCCCAGGAAGGCTCTAGAAGCAGACCTGGGCCATGGCAGATGCCTGGAGAGTGCAGGCAGAAGAGTTGAGGACCATGCGGATGTGCCTACTGCACCAGTGTGTATCTATGCTTTTCTAGCACCCTCTTAAGAGTCATGCTCGAGCAAGCTGTTTGGAAATGGCCTGCTATTTTCTTAATTGCACACAGTTTCAAATCTATTAAAAAAAAAAAAAGTGTAGTAGGAGCCCTAACGTGTGAAAATTTTGTTACCTGACTTTGACTCCTAGTTCACATCAGCGTGGGGTTGAGGACCAGTCTTCTAGAGCTCAGGTGTGCATTACAGAGCTATAGAAAAGACTAGGGTGAAATACTGACCTCACTACACAAAAAATCTGGCTTTCTCTTTTCTTTTTTTGGGGTTTCATATATGCTCAGATCTACTTGATTGTTGTAGTTATTAATATTTATTGAAAATGTTTGTTCACACTTATTTCAGAGATGTAAAAAGAATGACTATGACGTGTGCTCAGAGCTCCTAAGTACCAGCTAACAAGATTACATGGGCAGACTATAAAAACCTGTAAGAATTTATTACTGAGATGTTGATTCATTCAGCTTTTATTTGGCTGGAAACCAGCTTCTAAAATTTGAAAGAATTTGAAACACATTTAAAATAAAACAATTATTAAGTGAACAGTTAACAAAAGTGTTCAAGTGCCCAACTGGGAGAAGGGCAGGACCATTGTCAAAGCAGCTGTTGCTCCAGGTTTTTTTTATCAGTGCCATAAAAATGACGACCTGCAAACACTGAATACCGTTTGTTTTAAGGGTGTGAATGATTTTTTTTTTTTTTTCACTTTAGTGAGATGGTGCAAAGCAAATGATCTTTCAAGGCAGTAGCATATGGTTTTAAGTTTTCAGGTTGTTCAAAGGTGAAGCCTGTAATAATTATGTTGTTTTCACCAGACACAGAAGGAGACAGAGGTGCAGTGGAAAAAAACTAAACCACCACAAACCTCTTCTGTTGGCAGAATTGAAGGGTGTGGTGCCTGCTCTAAACACTGCTCTGCAGGACGTAAGTCTGACTTACGTTGCAGTTCATTGACAAAACTGGTAGAAGTGTGGAAAAAGTTCAGTACAGGGATTTTTAAAAGCGAGCATGCTGTAAAGAATGTAAATAATGTAAATAAAAAAATCCCATCCTGTCTGCCTAGAGCTGTCTTAATTCTCCTCCGTGTCACTGTTAGCATATTCATTTATGGCCTTTGCAGAGGGAGTATTTTTCAATGGATGTGCTGAAATAGAAAATGTGTTGTCAGCATCTTTGCTTTTCCAACCTCAGTAGTGACTAATTTACTTTCCTTCCCATTAAACGTTTTTATTTCATTTCAAATATTGCATAAATACCTTTAATTATAGTAATTTTGTGCTGTGAATGGTAGTAAAGACTTACTATAAAGCTCCTACATTCTTTTATCATTCATTAAATTAAAGCCAGTTAAAATACGCAACTTTGTGATTTTCATTTTTACATAAGTTAATACTTGTATCTCTGTTGGTGTACGTGAATTAGAGGACTAAGCACCAACATCTGGGCATGTGGGATTTTGGAGGGTGTGTGCCTGCACAAAATACAAATCGAAATTGCAGTTTGCAAGCAGGGTGGCTTGCCTTTACCCTTTCATCTTACAAACAGCTTCAAAGGTATTGCTTGAAAATTAAATTTATATTGACAAGTGAAAATGACCAGTAATAGGAGATTCTATCAACATCCCAACCAGCTTTCAGAAGCTGTCAACAGTTAATTAATTAGTTGACCTGGATGCTTTCTTATAAGTATTTAGCAGGAAAATTTGTAGTGGAAAGTCAGCATAATTGAGGAAATCAGAATTAAAAGTGAGTGATTCATACTTTTTTTCTTCATTATGAAAAAGCATGTTTAGTTTTTTGTATTTCAAGTGCATTCTTGACTCCCAGAGCCAAGCATGTACAATTAACTTGATAATACCTTAGTCCTCCCAGAAATTTTTCAGTTGACCTTTTATCCTCTGGAAACCCAATAAAATAAATACATGTTTACATTCTCTGCAATTCTTTAAACAGAAGAATAGTTGGGGGAGAAGGGGACATGTTAAAATGTAAGATTGCTTCTTGGTGGTTATTTGAAACAGGACAGTATGATTAATGAAATTGCCAATTTAAATACAGACCATATTCGTGGCGGAGCTAATGGGTTTGTATCTGGAGTTCCTTCTTCCCTGGGGCGCTCATCCATGCAAAAAGCAATAATATGCTCTGTCTGAACACAGGCAGAGGGCAAGGGGTGAAAGAAAGCGAGGCCCATGCGTTCAAAAAGTTCTCTTTCTCTGGGATGTTTCTTCCATTTGAACATACTGAAGTCAACTGTTACCCCAAAACTGAAGTCCCCCTTCCTCATCTTAACATAAGTGGTTTTAACCGTTGGGCTTTGCTTCATACGCTGAAGATCAATAAGTATTTGTTCAGCAGAGTGCACGCTGCATTTCTGTCGATGTCCATCTGACATTTGAAGTATGGGGACTCATAACCATCTATGCCACTCATAGGTCATGGACTGACTTGTGCGGGCAAAGCATGAAGATGTGAATAGTGCTTCCATGGTAGTAAGATCCCAGATCCAGAGAGGCTGTAAATCTTTGAGTTGTCCTTAGCCTACAAGTCTGGGGGGATTGCAGCGCACAGATGTTACACTTTCTCCTAGAAGCACTCCGAAGCCATGAAATAAGCAGGTTTGGCTCTAGCAGATGTCCCCAAGCCATCAAAGTCTTGTGAAGTGCAGACATCAGACCTCAGCCAAGTCTATGATGATTACCTAGGTTCCATGTGTAAATTACCAGAGAAGAAGGAGAATTTTAGGAAACAACTCATCTGACCATTTTTAAATATCTACTGTAGAGTCCAAAAAAATTTTTCAAGTACCTCTTTTTCTATATTCATTAAATGAGTCTGGACAACTAGTTCAACATATTCTTCCACATTTGATAAAATCAGTCTCACTCCTGATCTGTAGGTGATAACGTTGTGTCAGAACTGGTTTATATATCCATGTTCTCGATTTAGAAGATAAAGAGCTAATCTCAGAAAATATAAGGACCTTCAGGTTAGGCACTGCAATTCCTTATTTTCTCAGTGGAGTTCTGAACTTCAAACCACTGCACAGGTTCCTTATGTGGGAAAGCTTGGTTCCTCAGGAGGCTGGGGACTAAGCATAGGACATGCAAAGCACAGGCTGTACCTGAAATTCTTTCCTTCTTCAGAGCACAAATGCCTGATACAGGTTTGTGAGGAGATGCCTTCATCCGGACTGGAGGAATGTAGGCATGTAAAGATTTCTTTCAAATAATTCAATAAGGATGATTCTTTGGATTTGGCCGTGGAACCTGTATTTTTCCATCAGCGTTAAAACTCTTATTCAGAAAGTGGATTTGTTACCCTCCTCAGCTGAAGAGGCCTTAACCTACATTTCCTTCTTTCTTGGAGAAACTAGCAGACTGTAGGATGGCTTAGGCGGGCACTCTCATGCCTTCAGCCGTCATGGGCAGGAGTTTCTCAAGGCCAAAGGACTGGAGCCTACTTGGCACTACAGGTTAGTGGTCAGGGCACCCCTGGCTTTTGGTCCCAACTTACGCTTTATGAGTTTTGGAGCATGTACTGACTCAGTAAACCCCAGGATGAATAGCAGAAAGAGTGGAGGAAGTGGGGAAAAAGGTTTATTTACAGATTGCCTTTAAAGCCACATGGCAATTCCATAGCCATGCCACATGCCTGGCCCTCCCCTGGCATATGCTGTTCCCACAAGGAAACATCTGGGCTAATAAAAGCTGTGCAGTATCATCGAGCCAGGTCTCAGTTCTGCAGAGGCTATATCCATGACCAAATCATGGACAGTGATATTAGCCACTGACTTTGCAGGGAGCAATTTAGCCCTCATCAGCTACCTTTGTGATGAGTCTGGTATGCCTGTGTGCAAGCATGAATCTGTCTATATATATATATATATATGGCATATATATATGGCATTTTTATAAAACAACTAGTGCTGAATGTTTTGACAAAACACTAACAACATAGCTTGAATAACTGTCAGAATATTAGGAAAAAAAAATAAAAATAGTTCTAACATAGTTTTAAGGCAAATCTCACTTTCTTTCCTAAACAAAATCAGGAGATACCGATTTGTTATTTACAGAATAAATAAACGTGCCGCAACTGTCTTTTAACTCTTACGGCTTGCATACGTGAAAAATGGTTGGAGCTGGAGCAGGGGGAGTTGTAGCCTGTTAATTTTAGGAGTGCCTTGTGTTGCGCTTCATTCTTTTTCCAGGGCTGTTCCTGGCTAACTTTCCCATGAGTTTTTAACCTCTTGCTCTTGTTCTCTTATGTAACAGGAAACAGGCTGACAGGAACAAATAAAACACAGCGTATCTGATAGTCACAGGCAGAGGAGCGGTTGATTTAGTTAGCCCTGCCTTTGTTCCTCCAAAGTAGATACATTTGGAGATTCAGATGTGCCTCAGCTCCTCTCCAGTTGTTTCCCAGGAAGCAGCGACTTGTTTGTGTTCAGCAAGCGGCACCGAAGTACCGCAAATATGAGAAAACAGATGCATTTCTTTTAAGGTTGAAATTTGTGGCGGTGTCATGTCCTGGGATTGTGGATTTAAGTATCTGTTTGCTCTTTCTCCCACCCTTAAGGCAGGGGTTTTGTGCAAGCTTCAGGGAAGAGATGACATCGGACGGATTGAGCTGGTCCAGAAGCTGGCGAGAGAAAACTGCCAGTTTTTGCAGACGGATAGAAAACCAGCGGAGAAGGCTGAACAAGTAAGACATTTCTTGTTTGGGTTTTTTGTTTCTATTTGGGAGGGGAGGGAGATTTAGGTCACAAAACTGAAATAGCAAAGCTGATGGTCAGAATCCAGGGCACACGTTAGTCATGGAGCTGTAGCTGCTCTGCTCTGGCATTTACATTTCTCCGAAGTGCGTTCAGTTCAATAATTGTCAACACACTTAAATTATTACGTTGTCATTAACTGTCAGTTACTGTTATTAATATCTTACACACATAGGAAACAGCAGATGCATTCAGAATGCTTTCTACCAAATTGTTGGTAGTGATTATGAAATATTTGGGACTTAGGGGGGTATTTAAATAATGTATAAGGTATTTGAGTGCTTAAAGTACTTAGTTTAAATTGTCATAAAGAAAATGCCTTTGCTGCTGGGATATTTGGATGCAAGCATTGGCTAGAGCTTTTCAGTGTGAATTAAAAAGAATGGTCTGGGAAGGGAATTCAGCAGTTTCTTTAAAAAAAAGTGTTTTCAACAAAAATTTACACTGAAGAAAGCAGCATTCTGTTTATTGCTTCTGAAAGCACTTATTCAGATGTTAATAACTGGATTGAAAATGCACTAAAACTTGACTGCTCTGCTTATAGCACAATGTATCCTAATTTTGTTCTCCTGGTAAAGATTTCTATTCTGATTGCATATTCATCTAAAGGTGCCCAGGATAATTACTGCAAGAAACAACAAAAATCCCACAAAGTCCTCATGTGTCTTGCTATAATATATATGTAATTTATTCCATTTTCTGCTCATTGGACAGTAGGAAAAAAGGCACATGCTTTAGAAAAGAAATACTTTTCAGCTCATTCCTACTGAAGTAAGGCTGCACAAAGGAAAAAAGAAAGATGAAATCTTATTTCAGAGCTTCATGCTGTTCCGTTCGGCAGCGTGTAAGGTCTAGTCTAGTGTAGTTAAATATGTAATTGTATTAGCAGGTGTGCACGAGGGAGGAGGGTAATTAGCCAGGCTCAAATCCCTGAGATTGAATTGTTCCTCAGCAGATCCACTAGCCATGGACATCTGGCAGAATTTCCATATATCTTTAAACCGTATCAGCAAAGCGCAATTAAAAGTTTAGGTAAAGAAGATTTGAAGCCAGGGAAGGTTTCTAATTGTGTTTCAGGATTTGGAAGCAAGATTACAGATGCTGTGGGCATAGGGGAGAGGGGAATGTCAGGACTGATACTCCAAAAAATCAGTGGAAATTTTTGCTGCTTACTCCGGTCATTGCAAAGGGTGATGTGGTGTCAGCTGCAGCTCTTTAGCTGCATGGATTGCAGTACAGTTCCAAAAATGGAAAGGAAAGAAGTGCTCAGCTTTTCTTCTCCTTCGAAAAGTATGGTGCTTAGCAATTGCTGCTATTTAGGAGATGAGTGACTTCAGTTTAGCAGGAGCTAAAGCAAGCTGCTCATATCCACGATGAGTGGTGTAACGCAGCAGTTCCTGCCCTTGAGCAAGGATGTGCCTTTAGAACTAGGAGGTGGCAGGAAAAAGAAAAGTTGCCTGAGAGACAGCAGAAGCCCAGGTCAATCCTCATCTGCCCTTTATTTCTGGGTGGGGAGTGTCTCACAGCCAGTGCTGGCAATAACAAATTACGGTGTGCTTCTCCCCCGTTCTGCACGTTGCTGGTTGTTTTAGGGTGGGGGTGACGTGACTTTTCCTGCGTCCTGGCAGCCCATGACCAGATGTGAGAGAGACTTGCAGTTCTTGGTGCGGGTGTATTTGCTAAGCCCCCAACCAGTCTATTGATTTCATTAGGAATCGTCACCAAGGAGACATTGCCGAACGTGGGGAAGGTCTGTCGTAGGGTTCTCACTTTAGCTGACTCAGGTAATTTACTTTCACTGGAAAAAACCCCATGCTTTGCTGTGGTGGGGGCGGTGGGTCACGTATGTCCAGGAAGCTGTGAGCTTCCATCCCTTCCTCTCCCTCCCTTCCTCCCTTGTGGTCCGAGAGCTGCTCTGGCGCATATGGCAGGATTTGGCTGGCTGGGCAGAGTGCGCTGCTGCGGGCAGCTGTTCCCTCTCTTCGAGGAGAAAAGCAGCAGGCTGGTTTGCAGTGAGTACTGCTCGGATGTGGGCTTTCAGACCTTCCGGGCTCATCCTGCTGCTATAGAAGTGATGGCAGATTCATTGGTATCAGCTTACTGCCCAGTCCCTTGTGCTCATTGTAAATGTTAGAGGAACAACACGCTCAGGGTGTGGTGTCCTTACAAAATGATGTGTAACATGCTCATCTATCTTTTTTTTTTTTTTTCAAAAGCATAGCTTACTCTTACATTATTTTCTTAGAAACACAGAGAAATGGGCACTCGATGTAGGCAGTAAAATGGAGCGGCTCTGCTTGTTCTCCCAGATTCTCATTTCTCAGCAAGTATTCCCGTGCTAAAACTTTCACCGTCTTTCCCTCCTGGGGAGCTCAAACTGCACTTTCATGGATGATCTGCCTTCCTCAAAGGGATGGTGTTCGGTCTGTGAATGAGAATCCTGAACACCTTGCCAGGCTTCTCTCCCTGCCCTTGGCGCGCGGGCTAGCCGGGCTGGCTCCTGGCGCCCGTCTCGAAGCAGAAATGGCACCGGTGGTGGGGCTCTGTGTTTCCGTCAGCCCAGGGCGGTGTTGCTGCTCGGGGCTGGGGGCTTTGTAATCTGCCTGGAAGTAAAGCTGCTCTTTCCAAGATGGCCAAGAGGGAATTTTTGCCCAAAGTGGAGTTCTGGTTTGCTCTCCTCTAGGAATATGCAAAAAGAAAAAAACCAACTTGAACACGGAGTTAGAACTGTGCATATGCATACTTCCTATCTACGTGTGCTCTCTCCCACCCATGCAAAGATGTCAGGGCCATGGAGTTGTGGCTCCTCTGTTGCTACCTACCCACTGTGTTTCTAAAGCAGGTCTGTCCAGACTAGAACCTCATACGGTTTTCCAGCATTAACAGCAAACACAAATGTAATATGATTGGGCTTTCCTGATTCTTGTACTTTCTTTTGAAGAAGGAAGATTTGAGTACCCAATGAACCCAATAGCTTTTTTCCTACACAGTGAGTGAGGTGTGGAGCTGCCTGGGGAAATGACGCTCTTTGTGTTTGTAGCTCTCTTGAGCATGATGGGGAGTTAGGCTGTGAAGAGGACTGGTGAGCCCTCCTATCATGCAAATAAGTAATCACCATCTTCATCTGAGAACTTCATGACTCACATCATAGGAAAGGTAGATGACGTGGATGCACAAGAATCTGGTCTTCCAGAGGTTTTTGGGCAGATAAAATACCTAATCGTATTCTTCAAGGTGTGGTGTTGGAAGCGGTGGTCTGTGGCCCACAATGGGCAGGTGAAGCATGGATTGGTTTGGGTCACTGGTTCAGAAAGAGATGAAATTCAATTATTTTTTCCTGGAAAAAGCAGATGATCTGGAAGAAGGAAAATATGTGACAGCTGGGTCGTTCACTGGAGGAAACAGCTTGATTTGGAGGTCTGGTGGCAGACAGAAGGGATTCCTTCTGTTTGGATGTGTTCTGGAGGGTTTAAAATTGGGGTATATACATGATGATTTTGTACATGCGTACCTTTTTACTTCATACCTTAAGCACCCTAGTCAGAAAGCCCATACTGCTTTTGTTTCAGGTTTCTGATATGCTATAATTTCTTTTCAGATTCATGTTATGGATAAAAAAGTGTTCTGAAAAAGTCCTGTAATTTAAAAAGTTTTGTGCACAAGCTCCATTATATGTGAGCTGCCTATTTGTTTCTGGTGCTGCAACCTTGCTGTGACCAGGTTGGACTGGTATATTGGAACCGGAGATTGTTCTTCTGTAGCCCACAGTGCCAGGTTCCTCTCTGGTGAATATAATGTCTGCAAACTGCTTTAACTGTGATGGTGCTCACAGACTTGTAGAGGAAAACAAAAACTAAATTATAGTGATTTTTTTTCCCCCCATTCCCACTTGCTAATGTGTTAGAATAAGGTTCTTAATTAAGGCACTGAACCTACCATATGTGTTAGGTTTCCTAAAAATTCAGTTTTGTTAATGAGTAGAAAGTAAATAGTAGTAAATAAGCTTCTAAATAGGCAGATAAGCTTCTTCTCTGTGCTGTTGCATTCCTACAGTGAGATTCAAGGTACTGATAAATAAATAAAATGAAATGTTTGTCTAAAATGCACAGAAATTATTTTAATATCAGATGTGGGCTAGAGTAAGATTAACGATGCAAGCTTGCAGTTCTCATTTTATCATTACATGCAAATCACACTCATAAGCCTAGGGAAATGTAAAACTGTATATTTGTATTTTTATGTTATTTAAATATTTCATTCCCTTAAAACAATTGCTTTGACAGAAAATAGATGAAAAATCTCTACTGAAATATTCAGTTGTAAAATGAGCCTGTTTTTTTGAGAACTTTGCTTACTGTTAGCATTAATTATAATGTAGAAAGCAAGCTCTGTATGTAAAGCCATTTGAAGTATTTTGTCTTTTTTTTTTTTTGCTCAAGCAGACATTGGCGATGCATTTGAGGCATATTTGCACTAAACCGTATTTTTTGTTTTTTAAACTCCTTTTAAGCAACTACAACTCAATTAAATAATGCCTCTGTGATAGATGTGATAGTGTTTGTTCAGTGTTTCCAGTTATATTTTCAATGAAGCGTTGCATTGATTAACAAAATCATGTCTGTTTATAGTGTCATTGCCTTAGCAAAATCATAAAAGTGCTTTTCACCTCAGCAACACGGGGAAAATATTCTTTATAGTACCGTTTTCATAGTCAGATCAACTGAATAAGCATTCTGCAAGTTGACACTAATGTTCAAAGGAAATTGAAGATTCTGTAATGTGTTCATTAGAGAACTAAAGAATAGGAGTTCATTTCTTAAACTATATAAATTATAGTATAGGCTGGGGCTCTTTCAGTACTTCCGTGCATCAGTGGGGAGGGAAACATTTCCTAAATCCACCTTGTAATCCCTTTACAGATTAATATATG